GGAAAGGAAGCTTATGCGCTGATTAAAAATTTGGCACTCAGTCAGCAATACAACTGAAATATGAAGAACTGAAGGATTTGTTACCAAAGCACTTCCAGCCAGTCAAATTCGAAGCAGCTGAGCGAGCGAAATTCTATTGCCTTGCTCGTGATCCTAATCAGCCTATCTGAGATTTCATTCTTCAGCGGCAGACTCAGGCTGCGCGCTGTAATTTCAAAGATCAGCTTCAAACTCAGCTCCGTGATAGACTCATTGCTGTAATTAACTGTTCTGAGCTACAACAGCAGTTACTGTTGATTCAAAACTGTACATTTAAAACCGTAAAGGTGGTCTGTGAACAATACCAGGATGTTCGTGCTGCCGTACGTGAGGAGCCGAAAGAATTGTTCAGTCACAATTGTGGTTCAGCGCTTGAAGCTCAACAGACGCGGCATTTCAGAAGTGTCAACAAAGCTGTTAATCACAGTCCGACGTCCACACAACCTGCAAATAATAACATCCGCCACTGGAACCCTTGTGAATCATGCGGTAGGCGACACTCTCGACTGACTTGTAAACTTCGCAATACCAAGTGCCACAAGTGTGGTAAGTCTGGGCACATCCAATCTGTTTGTCGAAGCACAGATAACTGTTTGAAACAGAACTCAGTCCGTGATTCATGCTTGTCTACCGATTTTCAGTCTCTTGCTTTATCTTTTAACAGTTCCAACCAGTCTCAACACATTACTCGTACCTTCACAGTCAATCATTGTTTTCGTCATTCATTCATCATAGACACAGGTAGTGTGAATTATTGAATAACTGTGCAGATTATTACGATTCCATTCCTGATACCAAGTACAGTCTACCACACTAAGAACTCATTTGGTTATGTAAGAAATCGATAACGTGAACAAACCGAATGTTAACGGGGCAAATAAGAAGCGATAGAGTGGTCACTGAGACAACAGAAAACAAAATAACTTTGAGGAAAAGAATCAANAAGAATCAACACAGAGTGTGCACCATTTTGAACGTTATCCCAACTCACTTCGTTTGTGCGCCAACTGCTGGATCTTTCAGACGGAGACTTGATGAAACCCTGGGACAACTCGCATCGTTATATTACGAAAAAACGCAAAAAAGTTGAAGACTACATTATGTGTTCTCTCCATCCCCAAAACTATGTGTGACCTTCCTGATTTTTTGCCGAGAAAAGATTCAGTTGGGTGAATGTCCTTTAGGGTTAAATGAGCTTGAATGTAATTCCCATACTAAAACTGTGAGTTTGAAATAATGCTTTATCCCCTTTTGGCAATGCATTTGCGTGATTGAACAGCGTGGTGCACATAAATATGAAGAACTACTCACAATCCGGACCGACAAGAATTAACCAAGACTAAGATCAGATATAGTGTTCGATAGTTGTGAGACAAAGACGGTCAGTGAGTGAGATTTTTATTTTGTTGAAGTGATATTCTCATTTCGACTTGTATCAACACAGGAGCTCTGTTGTCTGGGTAAATCTGTCTCACTCTGATTGCGGACTCTCGTTCGTCTGTGAAGATGCTTGCATGCACGGGTGAAAAACACGGATTGACCAGTACACACCGTTTCCGCATGCGGTTACTCGCAACTGCGCACGTGCACCCTAGTACTACTGCTACTAATCTACCACTACCTACCTACAGATCGATCGATTCTGCTCTATCATTAATTAACACACTCTATTGAGAAGTGATTCGGCTTGTCCGATATGTATGACTCAGACCGATCCACGATTCGTTAGCATATCGTTCGTTCAGTCAAGTAGTGTTATAACCAGTCACGGTGATGTGTAAGTATCGATCGCCTGTGATGTTTTTGATGAGATTTTAGTGATACAGACGGAAAGCTGCATTGAAACGAATGGTTCATTGATGTCACAGAAGCACATTGCTTTGGAACACACCCAGATTTTAGTTGCTCGACTCGTATCACTAGATACGAAATGAAAATAATCTTAGCGTATAGACACAAAAAAACCGTATTTACTTCTGGTTATCGAAATGACCATATTAACCACTCTTGATGATCACATACTCGGCACATGTGCATGATGTGTGACAGACAAGATTGTTTCTTTTTTTGATATTGAACGAGAAGCGAACAATTGTTATCGATTTGCGTCATTTAAAACCGGCGAGTATTTTTATTCAAACTATCTATGGGAAAATACGCTGCGGACACCGAGATTTTACTCATACGAATTACTACTACTGAAAGCATCAAAATATGCCGTTATTACCAATTAACTAATTTAATCACAGATAACTCGTTTACGCTTTAACTAACTTAGATCAGAATAACCAATCACATGTACTACAGTGTTCTTCAACCAGAATACATTGTTTACAATGTGAGTTGCTGCGTATCCTTATTCATACCATAGCAGCAACAGTGGGAGTATTAATTCCACAGATAAAAATCTAGAAAAATCATATTTTGGCAACTGATGAGTGCGTTCATTCACAATTAACGATTGTCTGAAAACGAGATCTCAATATACCATTCGGTTAAAATAGATTCTAACAGATCAGTAATCACTTTTTCCCTGCGTCCAGCTTTAAATCCGTCCATCGCCTACATCGCTATTCGATGTGGCTCACAGTTGCCGTAAAGCTAAATAAATGATCAACCACTACATCACACTTTGTTCATACAACATGCAACAGTAGTTTTTTGCATAAAAGAATGAGGTTATCGATTGCATGACTGTCTTACACGTCTTGTGGTTCATTATTCTGTGCATACATTCAAACTACTCAAACTTGGGTTAAGCTCACACTCTGGACCATCTTGCACGCTTAGTAGCTCCGGTAAAAATTTTTGCACAGCACTAAATGGTCTGTCAACCTTTCTGTCACGCATTACCCATGATCGATGATTCGATCACCCTACCACATACCACATTTTCAATGAGGGCTTTGCACAAGATGAGCGTGTGTGCAACTCTCTTCTATACCAAACGCAGACATTCGCGTATTCAGGCCACATGAGATTCGAAACAGGTCAACAGAAGGGAAGCGATGACATAGATGGAACGACAACAACTCTAATCATTCAATTACTTGATATTATTGATAAAAAACGAATATGTGTGAATGAACATGGTAGGAAATTCAAAAAGAAAAAGACTGTGGATTGTTCATGAACCACAAAATACTTTCTCTACAGTAGATTTCCGATTTGTGATTATGGATACACGGAGGCACTCATGGTATGTCATGTGCAAACCAATCGCAGAAAATTAAATTTGTCAAAATGTTGATTTATTGAATCGTCAAAAAGTTACCTGCTTTCCCACCTTGGTAGTTCCTATGTTCGGACTAGTTGTTTAATAAATAAAGACAAATATAGACAGCCTGATTACAACTGATGGACAACTGCAGTTTGATCAAAACTCTGATGTTTGGTCAAATTTATCGAGTTCAAGATCTCTTACATCATGGGGCTAAAAATTATTAACCTAAAAGTTTTGGTATTACTTCATTTCAACTCAATTGCCGTAATCTTGTCATCCAAGTTAACAATGATACATTGGATATCATTGGATACTGTGAAACTCTCCACTTTAGATAGAAAATTGATGAGTTGAGAGACCGGAGTATCACTTCTGACATACTGGACAGGTCAGTTCAGCTCCTGATTCTGTGGCTTTAGCCACTGAATTGAACATTGCCTCCCCCCAACGGATTGCGTCATTCACACACCCCGCTGTCTTTCGGGTCAGGTTTGGCTAGTCAACGGACCCGGTTGTGAGTTCCCCAAGAAAATTCGCCTGCTTCAGCCTGGGCAAACACAAGAAATTCATGGACATTTTTCTTTTCGGAAAGATTATTGTACTGTGTTGAGTTTTACGTACAGTCTAGATCACGAAGTGTCATAGATATGTATACACTCGATAATTTCGCTTCTTGCAGAGCAAGTTCAAGTGTTGCCATGATGCTGCGACGTCAAGATGTCTACTCATCTAACCCCGGGTACGTTTGTCGCAGGGTCGGGTAGTTCAGTTCCTGTTACGGATTGAATAGCTAAGAAACAGATTCGTAATTGCAACGCTAAGGAACAAAATCCGCAGTATGATTTGTGCATAATTAAGGAACCATCGATAATCGAATGCCGTTATTGAGAGCTTACAGCATTATGAAGGATGACTGTCATTGATTCTTTCTCACGTGGTTACTCAATATCCCTTGTGCACGCAATGAAGTTTGATTTATTCAAGGATTTTTACCACGTGATTTGTGATTAAACACGACTTTGAGAAGAATTCTAAGCACTTGCTTGTCCCCATTAACCTGCTATACGAAGTTGGCTGAATTTGAAATCTGACGCATTAGGTTACACTAATAGATCAAATTTTCTTTTGAAGTAGTCGGCGTTTTTCACCACTCAGCAGATGTGAACAATTTTGACATTGAGAAGGCGGTTTTTAAACTAGAGAGTTAATCTGAGTCGCTTAGAGTCTATGGATACACTTTTGGTGTGAGCCACTGTAAAACAGGCATTCAGCGTTCGCTGGATGTCTTTCATTTTTCTGCTCAATTTAAACGCGCAAACATTCAAAGGAACAATTGAAACTGAACAGAAATAAATTAATCGCTTGAAAGAATGACCTTATTTACAAAACTGTTGACGTTTGCGTTAGTTTGACAGCAATATATTGTTCTCATTTACACGAACTCTCAAAAGCGAATACGTGGGACTGAGAAAGATTTGCACTAAAACTGTGGTTATGGTTTATTGTTATTAATATTATTACTGTTACGACTACATGAAAATTTCCAAGTATTTTTGCAAACACTGTGACAGAAAATGGGAACTAATTAACCACACATTCCAGGATCCTTCAATATACCGAATACAACTCAAGTACATCAAATCTGCTTGATATAAATGGTGTAACCTAACAAAAGGAAGTTTAAATTAGTTACGATATTTTATTGATCTCAATAACAGTAGATCTCGACTACAACAAATTAGTATTCAGCGTCTTCTTCTTCAGGTTCGCCGGATGTGTCTTGTTCAACCTCTTCGTAGTCCTTCTCTAACGAGGCCAAGTCTTCACGCGCTTCTAGGAACTCGCCTTCCTCCATACCCTCACCAACATACCAATGCACGAATGCACGTTTGGCATACATCAAATCAAATTTGTAGTTGAGACGTTGCCACGCTTCTCGAATCGCTGTTGTGCTGCTCAGCATACACAAGGCACGTTTCACCTTGGCCAAATCACCCCCGGGCACATCAGACGGTGGTTGACTGTTTATGCCAACTTTGAAACCAGTTGGACACCACTCCACAAAGTGTACGGCTCCCTTAGTTTTGATGTATGAGATCACATCGGTGACATCTTTGGAAACGACATCACCCCGATAGAGCAGGCAACACGCCATGTACATACCACGACGTGGATCACACTTGACCATCTGGTTATTTGGATCAAAACAGGCGTGGGTGATCTCAGAGACGCTCAGCTGCTCGTGGTAAGCTTTCTCAACACTGATTATTGGGGCATATGTGGCCAGAGGGAAATGAATCCGCGGGTATGGGACCAAGTTGGTCTGGAATTCATTCAGATCCACGTTCAATGATCCTTCAAAACGCAGGGAAGCGGTAATTGAGCTGACCACTTGAGCAATGATGCGATTCAGATTAGTGTACGTTGGCAATCCAATGCCCAAATTACGTCTATAAGAAAGATAAGATTTATCAATAGAGCCGTACAGGAAGGACTTACTTGCAAATATCGTAGATGGCTTCGTTGTCAACCATGAACGCGCAATCCGAATGTTCCAATGTGGTATGTGTGGTCAAGATCGAGTTATACGGTTCCACCATCGCTGTAGAAACTTGAGGAGCCGGGTAAACAGCGAACTCAAGCTTCGACTTCTTTCCATATTCCACACTCAACTTTTCCATCAACAATGAAGTGAAGCCAGATCCGGTGCCTCCACCGAACGAGTGGAAAATCAGGAAACCTTGCAATCCACTGCATTGATCTGCAATTTTTCGTGTGCGATCAAGAACCGCATCAATGAATTCACGTCCGATTGTATAATGACCTCGCGCGTAGTTGTTCGCAGCATCTTCCTTCCCACTGATTAGCTGTTCCGGATGGTAGAGTTGACGATACGTTCCCGTTCGAACCTCGTCTATAACAGTTGGTTCGAGATCAATGAAGACCGCACGTGGGACGTGCTTCCCAGAACCGGTCTCACTGAAGAAAGTGTTGAAGGAACCGTCGCAAACACCTGGAGTTTTGTCTTCAGGCATGTGTCCATCAGGTTGAATTCCGTGCTCTAAACAGTAGAGTTCCCAGCACGAATTTCCCATCTGTACCCCGGCTTGACCGACATGTAGGCTGATGCATTCACGCTATTTTGGATAGGATCACATAGTGTAAACTCAGAGACTTACCATATTTACTCGCTCAGTTCACCGGATCGGAGCGTGGAGTATGTGAGTTGTTTGTATTCTGACTACTCATGCACTACCACTTATAAATCGCAACTCTGGTAATCCCGCCCCCACTTCTCGACTGGTGTATCTCACAGACGGATCGAAGGACAGACAGACGAACAAAAATAACAAACAGCATGTATTGGTGCATGGTGTCCCATCATGAGCAGTTTGTCTGTGCCTTCAGTTCTGTGCACCATCGAATCGAAAGTGGGTGTTCATCTTATATTACACTGCTATGTGCCTTAATGATGTGTGCGTGTTGATACACAGTGGTATTCTTTGGTTCCCTAACTTGTCTGTACAGGTCTGTTCCTAAAGCAATCAATCCGGTCTGCGTCCTCCAATACCATTAATCTGGAAGTTTTATTTTAAGTACGGGTGATTATTAATCGTGTACAGTTTGGCAAAATTTTGGCACGTTGTCACATGCTGTCCCGTTTTCGGTCGAACTTGTTAGCGTGTACGGTGGGGAAGGGGGTCAATGAATGCGCATTCCGGAGTCCGTGAATTCCCGAGGGCCAAACCACTTACGTAAGAGACTATTTATTTTCGTATTGAACAGACTATCAAATATTCACACCTATTCTGATCTGATAAAACTGTATTCAATGCTGTACTCGTACGAGTACATTTCAGTTTAACCAAATTCAATTTGTGTCACCAAAGTTTAGGTTAGTTTAAAACCCAACTGCACTTTGGCCAGCCCACTTTTCATTTAGGTTACCGAATAACGTTATAAATAAACTTCAAAGCACTAAGGTTTGAAATAATAAAGTTGAAAGTTACTTGCGGATCTCAATTAGGGAACACGGAGCTCAGACGGAGTAAAGGTTCATGAAGACAGATGGTAAAACTTGTTGATTAATGCGATTCAGGAATTCTTGCGCTCGACTGTGTCAAATTGAATGAATGAATCGTATATGGATGTCTAAATAAGTGACCGATTGATCGTATGACTGTAAGGTTAACAGACAGACAGACAGACAGACAGACAGACAGACAGACAGACAGACAGACAGACTTTTCTTCACCCAGTGGATAGGAAATAATTACGATCGATTAACCAGAGATAAATTTTATTATTTCCTCAATATTCGCTAGTTATACACAATATCAAATACAGCATCAAATTATCATCAAAATGGTACAATAATGAAGGTAATAAGCGCAAAATTTATCACTCATGCTGACGTAAATATGGAAGAAAATTCGGTTTGAACATCCGAGCGGCGGATTAGTGTGATAATTCGGAAGTGAGCACAAATCTACGACATTGATATCTATACAATGGAGCTCACAAACGGAGTAGGAAACAAGTGTTCATTTAGCGTTACGAGGTGGGATTTAATAGAAGACTGCCACTAAAACCCAGAGAGCACAATATGATCAACTACGTGGCAGGGCGCACACGGAACACGACGACCGCCTCCTTAACTTGCCCAAGATATTTTATTCGCCACATGGCGTATCAATCCAGTCCTACAAACGCATATTCCGTTCGCCAAAAAATTATGTTTTTCGGGATTTGCCGGTCGACTGAAAAAATGATCATATACAACGCAGTTGCTTTTATCCCAGGCGCAGGTAACCCACCGGCACCCCATGTCTGATGACGAATCCGGGACTTCTTTCGATTGTTTAAAATCTTTAAATGACTCCCAAAATATTTTATCCCCTGACCGAACTCGAGTCACCAAACGTCCGACACTAACTGCTTGAAAATTTCTCTATATTTGATCACAAACTTTGCCACAAAGACCCAACCACTGTTTGTATCCCAGTCAGTGGTAAATTTTACTTGAACAACCACAATGGGTGAATCCTCCGTAGTTCGCGTGATGCACTTCCAAGGAATGATTTGTATTTGCAGATGTGCGACAAATTGATCGAAACGCAATAATAATAAAGTTTAACATGTTTTATAGAAACAAATGAATGAAAACCGGTAAAGGAGAGATATAATGGTTTATGGAGCTAGTACTAGCTCCATAACTTACACGTATAAGGTAAACACTAGCTGCGTCCACGTGTGGCCCTGGTTGGTTGTTTCGACAATTTCATAGACCTGGGACACTCCCCACGCTTCGCAACGATTGACCAATACGAACGGGCGATCTCAGCGGTAAACTTATACAAAATAGAAGGCAGACTGCGAGACATGGACCAAAGCACTATATTTGGACGTAAAAATACAGTGGCGTCGCACGGTGCATTGAACGACCAAGGTGGAAGTGTGTGAAAGCAACGCGCGTCAACGTTCAGTAAAACAAGCACGTGACGTAAAACACGAGTGATAAAGCAGAGTCACTACAGAGGCTCCCTCCTTGAATGGCAATGGAGTTGGAATTCGATAGTGTACGCGAGGCAACAAGCCTTGGTGGCAGGCGACGTTCTCCATGCCGCCCACCGCGACGCACCAGGGTAGCGGACCCAGCACAAGACGTTTTCCATGCCTCACAACCGCCGTCCGGTGGCTTGTTGCCAAGGCTCTTAACTCCGGGTAGGGATAGGGCCTGCATTCGTGGTCTTCCGAAGACGAATCAAGTTTGGTGTTGGTCCTGTTTCTTCCTGTTGTCTGAGTTTCTCCGTCCTCTGATTACCCACGGGGAGGCTGTTGAGGATCCAAAGCGAGCGAAATTCCAGTTAGAAAGACAGCAGGGTCTCTGCAAGATCTAAGCTGATGGTGCTCTGAATGCAAGTTGTTTACTATTGTGGAAGAACCGCGGGGGAGCCAAACGATCGTCAGAGCCGATCGAGCCCATAGTGCAAGATACGGTGTGGGGCTGAAGCCTCAGAAAGCTGGGAAAATTATGCGCCTTGCGGTGCAGCGGATGTACGACTACACGGTACATTTCAAGCTTGGTGCTGCGTGTTAGGTGAGGTCGCATATGGACAAGAAATAATAATAATAATAATAATAATAGTAACAACTGTACAAAATGCATGTTAAGGTGAAATATACAGGACGAGTCACTTAGAAATAGGTTGATTTTTTACAAAATATATACAGCCTACGTAATCAATAAATCTAACGGGTTGTCGCAGCCTACGGCCGCTTCGATTTCTCCTGGTGACTGGCGCGGCAGTATTACCTGCTAAAGTAGGTGTTCCGACCGAGGAAGGGAAATCAAAAAGAGGAGCCGTTGTTACAGATGCTGGCAACGAAGGTGTCAAAGCACGTAGAACAATTTGGGGTAGGGGTGAAAGAATCTACTTTGACGATAGCCAGTTTTAGGCGATCTATAGCTATCGTCTCCCTCCTACCATTACTGAGCACCGTATAAAACTTCCGTTTATTTTGTAGGATGCGTAACGGGCCAGTATAGGGTGGCCGCACGGGTGAACGCAGGCCGTCTACCATGAGGAAAACGTGGCTAGAGGTTGCTAAAGACTTGGGTACGTAGCTGCGGGTAGTTTGGTCTCGTGGTGGCGTCAGCTCTAAAAGGCGCACGTAATGTTCTATACGCTTGACGAAACCACCATAGTCAAAGCTAGAAGGAGGCGGTGGGGTGACTTATTCGCCTGGAAAACGCAATGTGCAACCATATACTAGTTGCGGTGGGGTGGCGTTTAGCTCTTCCTTGACTGTGTTACGCAAACTTAGCAGAACCATGGGCAATGATTCAATCCAAGATGGATTATCTTGGGCTCGCAGTGCTGCTTTCAGTTGGCGGTGAAAGCGTTCCACTGAGCCGTTGGCTTGTGGATGGTACGCAGTAGTTCTAATGTGGCGGCAACCGAATGTGTTCAACAGACTGGTGAAAGCGCCTTCGAAGTGAGAGCTGCGATCAGTGGGTACAACCGCTTGGCACCCAAACTGACTTATCCAACCATTTAGAAATGCTTTGGCTGCTGATTCCGAAGTCGGTTGTCTAATGGGTTATCTTGTGGCCACCGGATGAAACGATCTACACATGTGAGCAGGTAGACATCTTCTTGCCAGAGAGGTAAGGGCCTTACTAGATCAACCTGCACGTGATGAACACGTGCAGCTGGGTCGGGGAACTTACTTAATGGTGATAATAATAATAATAATATTTGTATATTTCACGAAGCCCCGTGAGGCATGCATAGACATGATTAAATGCACAACATAATCCTCCGTACAGGAGAGGCCCAAAAGGGGGAAAAATTGAAGGTCACAGTGAACATAATTACAAATGGAACACAGAGAGGACAAGGTATCAGATAAGAAAATGTTGAGGATGGTGGAATGCTCTAAGAGAGCAAGTCGGTGGAAGTAAGACTAAAAACAAGAATTGTTATACCGGATGAATGGTGGGATGATTGGAAACACGACAAGCAGTGAGTAAAATAACAAGAGGCGGCCTGCAGATCGTTGGACGAAACCGGCACAAGAGCGGATAGGGTGAAGCAAAACAGAGTGAAACTGTCATGGTATATATATGCACTTCACGTTGTTAAACAGATGAGTTCTGAAGGGTCTTGTTCGATGGTCTCAGGGGCTTCGATCAGCAGTGGATTGATTTGGGTTATTTACGTTATTTAGGCGTTGGTCGCTTTGATTTGGGACTGACTAGACGCTAGGCACCCAACCTTAAAATACCTTGTAGGTGAGGCAGGGGATGCGTTCCTCTACCTGGTCCGGACTGCGGACGCATGTAGTCAAAGCGGTGGATACAGCCGCACCCAACAACCATTGCCCGTGCCAAATTGTCCATTGTGGGTGTAGACCCCAAGCTTTCGTCAGGCCCAAACCAACCGGATCTGGAATAGAAAGGCGTACATCGGCAGTCTGGGTTGCAGCCCAGCTGAGAAGAGATAAGGGAAGGAAATAGCAGCAGGCAAACGACCAATTCTAATCAAGCAGGGTGCTTAGGTCATAATACTACTGAAAGGATGTTGTCAGAATGTCTAGTTCTACAGAACCAAAATGGAGGTGGATACCCGTAATGGTAGAACATCAGTTGATAGAGTACACACAGCTACTTTGTTAG